TATGAATAAAAAAGTATAGACAAACTCATTTATCAGTGTTTTGAAGGATAGTTGATTTCGTGGATTTGGGGTGTGGAAGAATAAAGACGAAAATGATTTACAAGTCGACTCGAAAATGATATAATCAAGAAAACGAAATTCAAAAGATTTATTTTCTGTAAAGAATATCATATGAAATTAGAAGAAAAAAAACTAGTTTATGGTCATGTTACTCGAACATTATAAATGAATATATTTCTTCAACATTCAAAATTTTTTAAAGAAAGCAGAAATAGTAAACAATGAATCTTGTAATGTTTTATGTACTTTGCAATTTCTACTGATTTTTCGATACAAATCAAGTCAGGAAATGATTTGACTTACTTATTTCTAATAGTTTTTCAAAGTATTTCGTTTGATTAATTTAACCGTTTAAGTATCAGAACATCATCAATGAAAAAATTTTCTTTATGTTTTCATAATTAAGATATTATGTAGTATTAATATTTCCATCGAAACTACTTCGAAACCTTGAAAATTATATTATACAAACAGAATCGATCTGAATAGGCAAGGATGGACTGGATTAGATAGGCTATTGAAAGATTACTCAATCTAAAAATCTGTACTATTCCCATCGCTAGATTGTCTCATTTGATATAATTAACATCAAACAAACTTACGTACATAAGCTTATCTAATAACGGCAGTAAAGTAAATAGATGAGACCGATGACCAGGCGGTCTGAATTTCACATGAGACTAATGATAAATGGTTTTATGTGCTTCGATTGTTATTGTCATTCTTGATGATCTATTGTTCTTTCTCTTTGAATGTATTGAATATGACGTCCGTTTTTTCTTCTTCAATCAATACCATGAAGATCAATAATAAAGAATCAACATACGTCAAATTAGAATCAGTCCGAGTTTCAATATAATTATCTTTAAAATAATACAATGGTGGTCTTTCAGAAACCTATTAGGCTCCTATCACATTGACCTTATCAATGTTATAATTTTCACATGGATGTATGTATCGAAGTGTTTTCTCCGTCATAGCGAACACCGCATCTTCATATCATTTCGCTGTCGCAAGTAATTCCAAAAATTACCAAATTCAAAAAAAAGTTTCCTTTATTAAGGATGTTTGTACTTCAACGGTTATTTATTGTAATATAAAGAATAAACGTCTTTTTATTAAAGATATTACTGGAAAACGAGATGATTAGTAACTTATACTTGGTACTCTCCATCCAACACTACTAAGCGTTTCATGCAATTTTGAAAAGCGATGAAAACTAGACGAGTAAACAGATTATTTCCTAATAGAAAAAAGATTAATTCATTGTTCAAAGAAAAGTCAGTATTCGAATGATAGACAGTCATCATAGAACTTTTTTACCATAGCATCTCCATGGCTGTTATTCAACTGTGGAATAATTTTAATGAAAATTTCTTGATAATTAAGTAAACTTCAAATTATTCCAGCATATCTTTGAAAACACATTGTTTCTAGTAACCTTACGAAAAGAATTAATAGAGAATCATTGATTATCTGTTAAACAAAAGTGAATTACGACTTAAGGAAGTGCCCGTATATAAATGACTTGATTAGCGAATATTTCAAATAGGATTTCTTGATTAATACTGATCTATGACCTCATTTCAGAGCAAAGAAAAAGACCAATCACCGAACGAATGCAAATGTGTTGACACAAGAATTAATAGTAGAAAAAAAAGAATAAAATATGCATATTGTCATACCTTCATCAGACATGTCTCTCATAAATTATGATTTTCGTATTTATCTTTTCGTGTGTCTATTCTCTTTTTCTTTTGTCATAAATTCTCTTTTCTTGCGATGTTGTTATCTCCTTTCTTTTGCTCTATAATCGAAACATTCACTTTTTTTTGCACTATTACTATACAGAGAAGTACTGATAAAATCTAAGTTGTATCAATAGTGATTTTAATAAAAACAATATAATCAATCATTAAGAATAAATCAATGGCACTAACTAGAAAGTTTCTGATTACTATTGGTAGTCTAATAACTATCGTGATCATTGGTCTTGCAGTTGGTATTCCTGTTGGAATTGTTGTCGGTAGACAAAAACCTACATCATTAACAGTTGAAAAACAAGCATCTCAGATACTTGAAAATAATCCATTAATCGATGGGTAAGATTAATATACTTTAACTGTAGACTGATAGTACAATCAAGATACTTTTAATAAGTATTGAGATCGATATAAGAAAGTCAAAAAAGATCTTTCTATTATCTATTATGAGTTTATAGTATTCTATTATCAGATTTTTATTAGTCATTCATGTTCTATTACGAATAGAGATGTACTCGAGAACGTATTTATTATGTAGAGAATTGCTTGATGTATAATATTAAGCATTTCTACAATTTTGAGAGACGAACAATTCATTTTACTTCCACTGTAATTGTTAATCAAGGTAGTTCTTTGAAAAATGTGTACGTGATAGAAATCGATATAAAGATTTCCGGTTATATTGTTCTTATCATGTTAACTTGGATTTATCTGAAAGAATTTAGATAACACAGTCTAATCTAGAACTTCAATAAATTATATCAAACGAGTATTATACTTCAAACAAGAAAATAATCTTAATCATTGTTTTTTAAAGAAGAATATTGTGTGTTGACATTATCTATTGTATTTGTTGAATCAATAAAGTAATGAAGACAATATCAAGTATTATAATAATAGTACTTGAAATAATCTTTTCGATATTTTATGGGCATCATAGAACAATTGAATCACATGAATTCTTCAAAAGAAAAATGTCAAGTATTTTCTCACAATAAAATCGAATAAAAATACTACTGTTAATAATCATCAATAAATTTTATTCTTTTCTGTGAAATTTACATTTAATGTCTAGGCCAGAATTAGACAGGGGTGAGCGTTATCTTAACAACTGAACAATGACAACAGCTAGCACCCTGCAATTTTCAGCAATCGAAATAGGAGAACTTTCGATGTTATTTCGTCTGATACTATATAAAATAAAATAATTTTAGAACTCATCATCTTTGCAAAAAATCTTTCAAAAATGCATAAAAATGGTGTTCCGTTTCGATGTAACTTTCATTTTGACATGTACTTCTGATGAAGGAACTTCAGATCTATAGCTCTAGACACGGTTCAAATGATTATATTTTCATATCGCAATATTAAGCAAACTAAATTGCGTATGTGTTCGGTAAAATTAGATAACATTCATTTAAGCATCATTTTGTCTTAAGCAGTGTGAAACAAAAAGACTTTCAGTGTTCTTGTTTTTGGATTTTTGAAAACCGCGCCGTACTAACCATCATTATTGTCGAATTATCTAGTTTACACCCATTCATCTTTGAATCTGTCATGAAAATTAGTTTTTTTTCCAAAATATTTCTACATCTAGTTTTCCTATCTATTTTTTCAAGACACAACGATTTGGCTTGGCTTATTCGTACTAACTTTGCAAATAGTATAGCCGATTTTGATTTATACAATGTGACACGAAATCAAATAAGAAATGACACACCATCACATACAGATATAACGCGTTTACGGCAAGGACAAGTTGGAGGACAGGTTTGTTCCAAGTTTTTTTGTCTTCATGTCTTAAAGCAAACAAAAATGTGTAAAATTCATAATAGTTTTGGTCAATATATACGAGATGTGGACATCAAGGAAAGGATGCAACAACAAGTTTTCTGGAACAAATTGATCTTATGAATCGAATTATAGCTAAATATCCAGATGAATTTCAAATGGCTACAACAGCTGAAGAAGTTCGACAAGCATTTGCTGCTAAACGTATAGCAAGTTTATTTGGTATTGAAGGTGGACAAGCTATTGAAAGTTCATTTTCGATTTTGAGACTTTTCTATCAAATGGGTGTACGATATATGACATTAACACATAATTGTAACATTCCATGGTAAAAAAAAGAATGAAAAGATTTATAATTTCTCGTTTTAATTGATTAATGGATTTAAACTTGATTTTATTATTTTTTTGTATTAAGGGCTGATCAAAATCAAGTTGATCGAATTAATTCAACATTAATTAAAAATAATGGTTTAACAGAATTTGGTAAAAAGATCATAATAGAAATGAATCGACTTGGAATGTTAGTCGATCTAGCACATGTTTCAAAACAAACAATGATTGATGTACTGAATATAACAAAATCACCAGTTATATTTAGTCATTCATCAGCTTATGCATTATGTAATCATACACGAAATGTTCAAGATGATGTACTTGAATTAATCGTAAGTTTCTATTTCGATTTGAACTATATAAATACTTTTATCTTTTTGTTGATAGAAACAAAATCAAGGTATAGTCATGGTTGCATTTGCACCTGATTTTATCACATGTAGTTCTACAAATCTTGGATCACTTATTGATGTTGCTGGTAAAAAGGCTTTTTTTATATTTTAACATGCATCATTAGGTTTTTTTTTAGCACATATTAATCATATAAGAAATATTGCCGGTATTGATAGTGTAGGTATTGGTGCAGATTATGATGGTATTAGTACGTATGTATTGACTTGTTTCGGTTTAGTTCTTTCACACTATTGTTTTCATATTTTAGAACACCGATTGGTCTTGAAGATGTATCGAAATATCCAAAGCTAATTGAATATTTATTATCACAAGGAAATTGGACAGATGATGATATAATTAAACTTATTGGTGGAAATATTTTACGAGTTATGGAAAAAAATGAACAAGTAAAAAGAAAAAGATTTTATGTAAATACTATTTTTTATTTATTGACTTTCTTTTAGATAGCAAAAGAACTTCAAAAGACAATGAAACCACAAGAAGGTTTAATAGATCGTAAGGATTTAGAAAAACATAATCTAACAGGATGTCGTAATTTGGATATGTATCCAATAACTAATTAATATAGCTTGTGAAATAAATGAATACAAAAAAAAAATAAACACAGAAAGAGAAAGAAAAATATCTAACTTTTACTTATTATATATTGGTATTGATCTGTTTTGATGCCAACAAAATTCGTGTTGATTTTGATGATCTAGTTGTTTTGTAAACAAATAGTTCAAATATATATATTTTTTCATAGAAAAAAAGAAAGAAAACGTACCGTGGAACAAGAAGACTAAAATGACGTTTATTTGTATGATTTAAAAATGATTGATCATCTTCATCGTCAATCAAATTATCCTTAAAAATAAATATAATTGTAATCTATAAAATAAGTTAAATGATTTTATTACTTGTTGGATATTTTCTTTATTTTCAGTATGATCAATAAATTGAGTTTTATGTTGAATTACTAAATAAACAAAAGAAACAACTTTATTTTCAACTTTTCAATATTCACATACATGAAGAAATGTTTTTATTTTCTCGTTGTCTTAATCGAATAGAGCGTGAACGTGAACGAGATTTTGAACGAGCTCGTTTTAATTCTCTTGATACACGATGAAATGTCGCTTCTGTTTGAATGAGATTATCATTTAGACGACAAAGTTGTTCATTATGAATTTCTTTTCGACTTTGATATTTATAAGCAAAATGAATAAGAATTAATAAACAACAAGTCCAAGAAATCGAACGCCATTGATAAGAGTTTATTATCTATTTAATTCAAGTATAAGTAAATAAGAATTCGGAATAAAAGATAATTTACCGACGACATTTGATAATAACGTTCAATAAGAACATAAATAAACATACCACAAAATAAAAAAGATCTAAATAAAAACAAAAGAATGTAATCGAAATAATCTTGTCTTTAATCATAATAATTTTCAAGGAAGGTATCTAAATAAGTTGCATAATTCTGTTAAGTATGGATTATTTGAAAAAAAAAGCAACAACCTTCGGATTATTCTTGTATAAAATTCCCTAAGTTACACGAGTTTCTCATGATGGTATTCAAATAATCAAAAATACAAAAAGTCTTTTTCTTGCAGTAATAATGCTTAATATTTTTTGGAAATTTTATAAGGTAAAAGATACATAGGAAATGTAATTTCTTCGAAATAAATTATAGAAGAAAGAAGGGATAATCTGAAATAGTTATCGTCATGGATGAAACATAATATAAAGATTCTTTATTGTCTATTCAAAATTTTTATTATTAAATTTTCATTACCGAGGGAATGTTGTCAATTATGAGAAGAGGCTTGGTTTCTTTATCTGAGCTACGAGATAGTTTTATGAAAGTTACAAAACTTTCAGAAAATTTCTCAAAAAATATCTTGACACAGAATTATTTCAGTTCAAAAGCCAAGAAACCATGATGAAAGAATTTCAAGTCTATAAAAACATTTGCTTATCAATCCATCGTTTAGATCTTCTATTAATCAAAGAAGTTATTTAAAGTGAAAAATTAATCTTCGAATGTTATGATAAACAATTTCTTTTTTTGTATTAACCTTGCTCGATTTGTTCGTTTTGGAATAGTCATTATGTAAATAGTAAACATTGATAGAGCATAAAACCAAAATGAATATGTACAAGTTATTCGTACTACTGTTTGAATTGTTTGAGATAGAGCACAAATCTAATGATAAAAAAAGAGATAAATATATAGAGATTTATTGATTATTTAACAAAGAAATCTCGTCACGTGACAAATCACTTTTGAAATGTGTCTTAATTCGTAGGATGTTCCTCTTGTGCTATGGCCATTTCAATCAAGTTTTCAGGGAAATTTCGTGTTCATGTTTAGATTACCCTCAAAACCAACTTTCAACTTCTAACTTTGTATAATGAAACTTCTCAACAAGACTTGTTCATTGTGAAAATGTCATACATTCTAGTATGTCCTCTTTACCAATACTGTTATTGAAAATTCTGTTGTTCAAAAAAAGCTAACTTTGTTCTGATATTCATATCTGAAGATAGGAGATAACAAAAAAATCTAATACTTTAACAATGAACTAGTCCACTGAAGAAATTTAGTGTTACAAAGTTTGAATTCGAAGTTCGAAATTCGATTTCGCTTATGATCTGAAGACAAATGCAAAATTTTATTAAAATTCTCATTAAAATGATCATAACTCAAGAAGAAAGTCTTATGATCATGAATCGTTTTAGATGTTCTCTAGTTTTAAGTAAGCTCTATCTAATTAATTAAGATTCATTTCAGGAGAGATTTCTCATTTGATGACGTTCTTTCGTAAGTTCTTTACTTGTTGAAGTAAATTATATTCATGACGAGCAGCTTCGATAACATTATTGAGAATATCTTGTGTTTTATCCATATTTGTTCGAGCTAATTGTTTAAGTTTAATAGCATTATTAACAATTGTTTCTTGAATATATTGTTGATACTTTATTCTATCTGTTAATTGATGTTGTAAATGAATAGATGAAATTAATTTAGTTATTGTTTCTTGTGAATTATTAAGAAATATTGTTAAACGTGATGTAAGTTCAGATTGATAAGATTTTTGTCGAAGAACATAACAAACACTTTGAACAAATGGATAAAATTCAGTATAGGCTAAAACAAATAGTAAAGTTTTTTTTTCTTAATTAAAAGACTGATTTTTTTTCTTTTGTCATTCACCAATAAATGCATTCATATGTTGATGAAGATTTTCCACACATAATTCAATATTATTTTGAAGACAAAGAATATTTGATAGATCATCATTCATTGTAGATAAATGACAAAGAGTAAATTGATAAGCTATTGTTGATTGATATTTATCGAGTTCATCAATTGAACAATATTTTTGTAACATTATTAATACTTTTTGCCAACAAGTTGATGTTGTTGATGATGATGATAATGATAAAATTTGTTCATATTTTTGTCGACCATTATCGAAGACATCACCCGAACAAAATGAACTGACTATTAATAGCATTAGTAGTTTTAAAAAACTAGACATGTTATTGGTTTTTCTTTGTCTATAAAGTTCATTTTTTGATTAAATTTTTCTTTTTCTCCTTATAACGAAAAAAGAACTTTTTTTAAATTTATTCTCTATAGAAGACACAACAGACAATAAGACAAATAAAAAAAATGACAATTCCAATTGAATTAGATCCGATAATGTCTACATAATCAGAACCGGTTTTACATTTTGAATATACGTAATTACTTTTTTTCTTTTGAGTATATATGTATTACAATTATTCATGATTTAATCACGCAACAAAAAAAAAGAAGAGTGTTAGTCATATTAATATACAAACATTCGTAAGATAATTATTTTTTTTTTGTTTTGAATATCTATTCTTGTTCATCATCTTTTTCCTAAAATAAATAAAAATAAAATTTATTCATCTATTAGAAAAACAAAAAATGAATTCACAAATCTTACTTCAATATCTTCTTCTTCGTCATTTTCACCTCCACTACCTTCATCTTCATCATTGGTTGTTGCTGCCTATAAAAGAATTTTCATTTCAAAAACAAAAAAAAAAAATTCTTTGTCTTACTAAATAATATTGAAGAGGATTAACAAATATATCATCTTTAATAACTTCACCAAATTCATCATTGCTCGTTTCACCTGTTATATCCGTAAACCAAGTCATAAATGCTCCATGTTCATCAGTATTATCATTATCATAAGAACGTTTACGTGTAGTTGATGTTGAACTATCACCATCAGGTTTTTTATTGCTTGCTGTTTGACTATTTTTTGATTCCTACAGAATAAAATTAAAAAATTTTTTTTTTTTTTATCTAAAAGTTAAAAATACATTTTTCCATCGTATTGGTGTTGATTTACATTGTGTTTCACTTGATTCTGTAACACTATATTCTTTAACGATTAAATCATTTTCAAAATGTGGATTTTTATCGAATGTCTAGAATTAACAAAAAATTTCTAAAAATGAAAATTTCAACAAATAAAAACTTACAAATTTAAGACGATAACCTGATTTAATATCATCATGCTAAAATAAAAATTAAAAAATATTTTTTTTAATGATATAAATCTTATTTTTAGTTATTTTATGCTTTTTACTTCTTCTACGTCAATACGTTTGAGATATTGTAAAATATTTTCATCATTTTGATCTAAATAACTTGATAATTGAGGATGGTTAAGAAAAACACTAACCCAAAATGATGGAATTTTACTAATTAAATCCGAACCTTAAAAACAAAATGACTTTTTCTTTACTTCCCAAAACAATCAAAAAACGAACGTTTTTTATAATTTGGTTGACGAAGTTTATTGTATTTTTGTTCAACTTGAAGAATTTCTTCACTTGCTTGTTCATTTAGACGATCGATTTCATTCTGTACATCGCCAATTACTTCGAATGCTTTTTGCATTTCGACTTCTACAAGGGTTTATAAAAAGCCGATATGAATATTATTCAAAAAACTATAAAATAATAAAAATTTTACCATCAAGTTTTGTTTGTTTCGTATTTGAACCTGACATATTGAATGTAAAAAATGTTTTCTAATTTAAAAAAAAATGATAGTTTGAAGTGTTAGAAGATAATAAACAAAGAGAACTGTGTGTCTTTTCTTTTTTATTCTTATTATGAAATTGATTAACCAATAGCAAAATAAAACGGATGAATTAGACGTTCTTTCTTGTTTTTTATTGCATTTCAGATTTGATCATAGCGACATCAAGCGATATTTTTTTTGACAAGATGTTTTAATTTTTCATAGAAAATATCATTGGTATTGAATTTTTATAATCTTCATGATTAATTTTTATTCTCAATTTATGTATGATAAGAATAGGGATATTTGATAAATAACTTAATTTGATGTTCTTTCTTTGGTTCAATATTGACAAGATTTTTGAATGTTTTTCGTTTCAAGAAATCTACTCCATAATCATAGCTTTCGTCTAGTTCTACTTAGAAGAGAGAAGAGTTAAGGCAGAAAATCTCTCAAACCTTTGGAGAAACAATTCATTCATTAGTTTTTCTTTCCGATAAAATATATTCTAACCTAGAACTTTCAATACTTTCGTTATCAATTTTTAATACTTTTTCTTCTGTGTCGCTGTTTCTCGTGTCAGTAAATTCGTAAAGAAAATTCTGGTCAATGAAAATATATGTTTTTACTACACACAAAAATTGTCTACATCAATAGTTTTAAAAATAATGTTTTGTCTATTGTGCATCATCATTATCACCATCTGTTTTGTTCATGTATATTTTCATATGCGAGTAGGTGTGGACATGAGTGTTCTTATTCTTGTCATCCACACTCGCTACTATTGGGGAGAGAAACAAAATAGATCCATTTAAAACTTTATCGCTTCACGTAAAAAATTGACCATCCGTCGTCTATGATATCCTACGAAAATATTATTAGCATTATATCCGAAAAAGTACGTTATATCAGTATTCTATGAAAACTATTGGAAATTTAAGATAAGATATTCATTGGACAAATAATAAGCTAATTTGGTCGAAACATGTTCAGTAAAAGGACACTTAAAGTTGCTGTTATGATATTGAACTTGATTTCGCACATAATATTCTGCAGTATCTATTAAACGAATTTGAGATATGTTAATGATCAAGTTATACTTTTGATGTTTGTTTTATTTTCTGTCTTTTTTAATATATTACTTCTGAAAAATATGATCTAATTTAGTTTATTTTTGAGTGAAAATAACTGGCTTTCTTCAAAAAAATTCCAAAAAAAGAACTTTGTTTTTAGATAAACAATTTGTTCCACTGAGCTATTAAAAATATTAGTTATCTAGAACAGAAAATTTTCTGGGAGGAATGCAGAACGCAAGAAAAATTAGAAGAAGGGAATCACCTTGCTTCCCCGCGTCCGCTCATCGTATGCACTTTCCGTAGTGTATTAAGAACAAGGACAATGAACGGATATAGCCATACATTACTTTTGAAATCTATTTTACGCTAAATTAAATCTACTGTATTTTTCTTTTGTTTGTGAAAAATGCTTCAAGAAAAGACATTTTCTAAATGTAGACTATCAAGTAATGTCCTGCGGGAATGACCTTTCTCGATTTCCGTTCTTATAATGCTTTCGAAATTCCTATTACGATTGTATTTATTCATGTTTGAGAAAAACTATCAGTACTACACACTAGATAATGTTAACGTCACACTTTTTGCAATCAAAGATGACTTAAATTTTAAGAATAAAATTATTATCAGAGTTACATTTCAGTAAAATAAATAAATTATTATTAATACATCGAAATCTATCAATGTTAAGCTAAGAAAATGATTTCCTTCATCAATTAAAAAGAGCACAAAAATACTAGCACATTAACAACATTGACGAAAAATATTGTGAGATAATCTGAATAATAGTTCTTTCGAAAGTGATAATCACAAAGAAACTAATAGTTATGACAATTGAATTACAATGTAATGAATAATGAATGAAATTATTCAATTTTTGTTTGAAAAAGCAAAGTTTGGAGAGTATATACAATATGTATATAGAAGAAAACAAAACAAAACAATTTTCGAGAACACCCACTTTTTAGTCTCTTTCCCGTTCCTGAAGTCTTCATAAGAATAGCGAGAAATAATTGTCTCTGTAGGACACTACTAACAAGTGTACTTAATCAGTTACTCAATTACTTAACACTCATTTATTGAATAGTTTATTTTTATGTATTCAATGATTACATAATTGTTTAAAATCCTTGAGATAGTTCTTAATTATGCATCAATTATTCTTAATCCACATTGATAACAAGTGTATCTTTCTTTCACTAAATCCATGTAGGATTTTTGAGATATTTAATTAAATTATTTTCCTAGTAGATAAGATTTTTCACCGTATATATATATACACCCTGTTATGTTGTATGTACATCAAATAACCAGAGTGTTTTTTTCTTCTGTATTAACATCCAATCATATATATCTGCTGATTCGAATAGCGCGAACGATTGTATTGCTTGTCATCGAGATTAGAGTTTTATTTGTTATTCAATACACCTACGACGAGACCGGAAATTGATTATATAGTTTCAACTATTCTATTTGCTTACGTCAATAGATACGAGTAAGCGACAAAAAAATAGAGATGTCATAATGATGATAATGAAGTATCTGCACATTTTTTTTAATCATTCTTTAACAATCGAGATAAATTACATTTACATAAAGATTATCGATAGTGAACAAGAACAAATTTTTTTTTCATATATATTAAAATGCATTCAATTTTTTATTTTATCTTACTATTCAAATCAATGGAGAATTTTTTTTTTCTATGGTTGAAGAATAATGTCTATTATATATCATTGTGACATTGATCGAGACTTGTTTACTTTGTTTTTTATATCAATAACGTCTGGATTTAGAATGAACAATGAATGGAGATGTTTCATATTATTCCATTACGTCGGAACAAAAAAAAACAACATTTTTATTTGATGACTACGACGCAAGGTCAATATATGTTTGTGTAGTAGTTTTTTTTGGTCTTTTCAAAAAAAACGATCAATAAAAAAGTCATTTAGATTCGTTTATTCTTGAGACTTTAACACATGGTCATTCATTCGGTTACAATAGACGAATGAGTTCATTTTCTTTTTTTCTTTCGTTCTTCTTTTTCTTTATCCATCATAGTACACACTGTCCTATTACCATCGTCCACTCGGTACCATAAGTTACCTTTTCTTTTTTTTTCTCTTTTAGTTCAACCGAACACATACATCAGTGAATAGTAGTCACATTGTTAGTTTTATCATATGTCTTGCTCTTTGTTGAACATTGATGATATGAATATGAATGTAAGTTTAGATAATCTAATATTGAATATTTTAGATGACATCAAATTTACGTCCGTCTTATAAAGAAGCACAAGAACGTCTTCTGAAATGGTGTCAAAATGTTACTAGAAATTATGAAGTATGATTGAAATTGTTTTGTTTGTTTT